GAGTGTGATGATCCAGCTGTATGTCACGTGAATGCCACGTGCGATAACACACCTGGATCATATACATGCACGTGTGAACCAGGCTTGTCAGGAGATGGTAAAGACACTTGTGTTGGTAAGTTTTGATTAGCCTGCGAGCATGATTTGAGTTGGTGCATGACGAAGGAAGGGCAGTAACCAAGACCTTCTTTTTGCCAGGTATCAGTATTGAATAAATCTATAGAGGCTTTAAAAGTCATTTTATACGTCCGCAATAAATGCAAAGGGCTGAAAGGAGTCAAAATTTTAATAAGTTGAACTCGGACAGCTTGTGTCAATAGACCTTATGCATAATGACGTCACAAGGCTTGATTCCCGCGAGGAATGCCGGTCTTAGTTGTCATCGTCTGGTAAAATTTCGATAGTTCCCATTTTCAATTGTTTAATTTTCCCGGTTGATGACTATTAAGACCAGCATTCCTCGCGGGCATCAAGCCTTGTGACGTCATTATGCATAAGGTCTATGAGTCATTTCCCAATCGAGCAGAGGACTGGGTCTAGTCGCTTGTTTGGAGGGACAAAAAATAAACATTGATTGAACATTCTCTGACTTAATATTTATTTCTGCGAGCTTTCGGCTATCAGTCTCTACAACCTTCGACGGGTGCATACACGTGCATAAATATGACAAATATAACAAATAATATGATATCTTCGAGGTTTTCCTATATTTCTAAAGTTGTTTGTGCAGCCTGAAACGCAACGATTATAATAATGCATCTTTTAATATTTAGCTCGCTCACTATAACTTGTTGTCCCTCCAATCGTCCCTCCAAACAATCGTCCCTCCAATCGTCCCTCCAACCAGTCCTCTGCTCGATTGGGAAATGGTTAATTACGTTTTGTTACTGTATAATAACAAATGTTTCAACGAGTTTCAAGATTATTTAACTTGTTATTTGCGCACAGTTTTTATGGTAATGTACAAACAACGTGTAGATAAATTTTTTCTCAAATTTTTCTCAGTTTCGAATTCCATAAGAAGGTTTTGCCCTGACTTTAAGGGGCGTTAAACGACCTCTTACATGCACAACAACAGAAATATAAACAGTTTATAAACAACTGAATTATAAACGGGTTATAAACAACTGAATTATAAACAGGCTATAAACAACTGAATTATAAACAGGTTATAAACAACTGAATTATAAACAGGTTATAAACAACTGAATTAGAAACAGGTTATAAACAACTGAATTATAAACAGGTTATAAGCAACTGAGTTAGAAACAGGTTATAAACAACTGAATTATAAACAGGTTATGAACAACTGAATTAGAAACAGGTTATAAACAACTGAATTAGAAACAGGTTATAAACAACTGAATTAGAAACAGGTTATAAACAACTGAATTATAAACAGGTTATAAACAACTGAGTTAGAAACAGGTTATAAACAACTGAATTATAAACAGGTTATAAACAACTGAATTAGAAACAGGTTATAAACAACTGAATTATAAACAGGTTATAAACAACTGAATTATAAACCCGGCAAACTACGAAAAGAAAGAGAATATCGCACAGAACAGAAACCGCGGTCCATGCCCGTGTATCTTCACAACTTAAAGCCCGATTGCGATTTTCTTACAATAGATGTAAACGAGTGGATGAGTTATGAGTGCTCAGATGTGGGTACATCATTACACTCAGAACATTCGCAACTGTTCAACTCGTTCACATGCATCAGAAGAGGAAAGTCGCACTAGAAGTCGCGGTAAAAATTGCGAGTGTAAACGGGCTTTAATTGCCAGAAGCTTGTTTCGCTAAATGAAGCTATGCAAGCATGGACGTTTCTGCTCATGCGATATGCTCTCTCTTTTATTAGTTTGCCGGATTTGATTTCGACAATATCCGAAATTAGTATAAATTTTGCATATCAAATGAGCTTTCGCGCGTTCTGATTGAACCGTTCAAAATGGTGGCGGTTGTTGATGTCTTGGCGATGCTGTATTTATATCAGCTTTTATGTCTCGCTACGCCTGTTATTTCGCCTGTTAATTTGTCAAACAAAAGTCTACCTATCAATGAGCACTTGCATAACAATTATACGATCAAATCATGTGTTTCTACGCTTAAATCTGCATCGTTTGCTGTATATGAAATCGCTGCGAAGACCACTAACATGCCCGGAAATTCCAAGCGTATTACCTCTAAGCGAAGTACGTCCACTTTGGCATATTTTCTTTGTATGTCGCTGCTTTTAACCGGTGCATGAAATATTGAGAGAAACCCTGGGCCAGTTCAGCAAGGGCACAATCTTAAACTTTGTGCAGAGAAGGGCTTGAGAATTTTTCACTTAAATATACGTCAGGCTTTCTTGCCATCCTACTTTTCCTACTTTTTCCTACTTTTCTTCAACTTTCCTACTTTTCCTATTTTTTATTAAAAATTGCTTGATTTTCCTACTTTTTCCTACTTTTTCTCATAAAATCCTACTTTTTTAAGACAGCTTGGGGAATCAGTATGTTATAGCTCTCGTAATTAGATCTACAGGACTCGTAATTTTTATTCCCTAGTTGTGTCCCAGATGATAAGATCTCGGGAGGAGAAGAAGTACATTTTCCGAGTATAAAATTTCATAGCATCTCTAGAATCAATAAATTAATGAAGACTCTGAAAGTGCCAATTCCGACGATCTAGAGATTCCAAATATTCAACTCCCCCCAGTTAATCAAGCATCATATATACATGGCCGTAGCAACTGGGCCTGGGGGGCTGCAGCCCCCCAATAATTTGCTAATAATATATTTTTTTTCAAAATCATGCACACCTTTATCATTTAATCCATGACAAACTGCAAAGAATGAAGATATTACCCATACTTTCCTGCAACTTATCCAATATATAGTTAATTAAATACGCCTTCGCCCATTTAGTACTACTAAATTGTAAATTTCGACATACTAAAACGCTGTTTTCTGACCATTAAAATTCTGTCAATCTTCCCCAAAGTCCAGGAAATGGCATTTCAGAGACTCTAAATTTAAAAATTTCCTCGGGCCTTCGGCCCTCGCTTTCAGCCCCCCCCCAATCGAAAAGAGCTTCCTACGGCCCTGATATATGCTCCTGCAGCAGTGTGGATAGGTGCATTGTGTAGCCCAATACATGCATTTGAATTGTGTTGCAGCTGCAGAGCAGATGCCTTAGCTTTTATACCAATGCAATTTAAAAGTTTTGAGAAATAAATCTTGCATAGATGAATGAGTACATAAAAATATTGAGCACCAAAAATTCACACAACTTCCCCATCAGATATCTAATGGTCTACCCCTTACCACATATATCCTAGGGGGCCAATTTTGTAAACTATATTTTTGTGTTATTTGCATCTCCAAAGCTCCTACTTTTGTCCTACTTTTCTACACATTTTCCTACTTTATTCCTACTTTTCCTAAAATTCTAGTCCTACTTTTGTCCTACTTTACACAAGGAAGCCAGAAAGCCTGATACGTAGTCTCGTCAACAAGATCGACGAAATTAGAGTGTTTTGTGAAACCCACAAACCTCATGTGTTATGCTTAAATGAAACATGGCTTGATACGTCTATTTCCGATGGAGAAATACAACTCGATGTTTATTCGCATATACGAAGAGACAAAACTCGTCATCAAGGCGGTGTTCTTGTTTACATTTCATCAAATCTAAACTTCAAAGAGCGTAACGAGATCGGAGACAAAAGCGGTGAGCTTCAATGTTTATGGCTTGAGATTGTACCTCCCAAAAGCAAAGGCTTTCTTATTTGCTCTTCTTATCGCCCACTGAATTCCGACAACGAAAGGATATATGTCGAGGGCCTACGAAATATGCTTGATAATGTGAGTGATTTACAGAAAGAAGTTATTCTCATTGGGGATTTTAATTTTGACTTAAAACGGTCTAGAAAATCGGCGGCATGTAAGTGCTTTGTGGATATGTCTAAGGAATTCGGTTTAAAGCAAATTATCTGTGACGACACTCGTGTAACTCAACACTCAAAATCATTGATTGATCTCTTTTTAACATCTCGTCCTGACCTATACATAACAGGAGTAATGCCTGTTGGGTTCAGCGACCAAAGTGTAATATATGCGGTTCGCAAGCTGCATAGATTAAAACCTCCATCTTCACGGATCATTAATACACAAAATTATAAATGTTACAACCAGATTGCTTTTGTCGAAGACTTAAATAAATTTCCCTGGTCGCAAATCGACATAACTGGAGATATTGAAGATTCATGGAATACTTTTAAAAACCTATTCAATGATGTCGCAGATTCTCATGCCCCACAGATTCATGTTCGAACGAGAGGTGAAAAAGTACCTTGGTTAACAACGGAGATTAGAAAATTAATGAAAGAAAGGGATAATCTTCACAAACTGGCGCTTAAGACCAACAGTGAACTATACTGGAGCTCCTTTAAACGCATGTGTAATGCTGTAACCCTTAAGTTAAGAAGAGAAAAGAAACATTACTATAACAATCAATTTCAGGAGAATGAATCAAACCCAAAGGGGACTTGGAAAAATTTGAAACGTTTACTTGGTAAATGTGGAAAAGGAACTGGATGCACTGGTACAGATTCAGCGACAACTGATTTGAAAGTTAAATGCAACATGTTTAATCGTTTCTTTGTTTCCTGTGCTACGAACTTAAGATCAATTTGTAGCACGACTGGCCATGCGTTCAAAAAATGGTTACCCCAAATGGAACATTCGGAAAGCTTTACGTTTCAACAATTTACTGATTCGGAGGTTCGAACTGCTCTGAGGGAATTAAAGGTGAAGAAAGCCACCGGTGTAGACGGCATACCAAGCAGATTGTTAAAAGACGGAGCTGACGTATTGGCCTATCCATTGACAGTTTTGTTAAATTTGTCAGTTCAACAATGTAAGATCCCTGGGGAATGGAAGAAGGCAAAAGTTACGCCACTTTACAAGAATAGCGCAAAGAGTGATCCAAAAAATTTTCGCCCTATTTCTGTTTTACCGGTAGTATCTAAAGTTCATGAGCGATTAATCCATAACCATGCAACTTGCATCGTATTTTGATGAAAATAACCTGTTGTGTAGATCTCAGTCAGGATTTCGAAAGAAACACTCAACAGAAACGGCGGTAACCCATTTTGCAGACCAAATTCTCATGGGCATGGATAAAGGGCTAGTGACGGGTGCCGTTTTCATTGACCTAGCTGAGGCATTCGACACAATCGACCATGATGTCTTAATTCATAAGCTGAAACATTATGGCGTATCCAATGAAAGTCTATTATGGTTTAAGGATTACTTGTGCGCAGGGAAGCAGTTTGTAACTATTGATTCGCATAGATCTGAAGAGCTGGATATCGCTTGTGGGGTCCCGCAAGGGTCAATTATTGGCCCGTTATTATTTATCATTTACATCAATGATTTATTATTTTGTATGCGAAGCTGCTCAGTCAGTATGTATGCAGACGATACAGCAATATACTTTGCGGCCTCGACGGTTGATGTGGTAACATCAATGAAGATTTAAATTGCTTATCTGAGTGGTTGAAAGATAATTACCTGGTGCTGAATATCACCAAAACCAAGTGTATTTTGTTCTGCTCACAGAGGCACGGTGGTGAACGAAACAGAGCTCTTACTGTGAACTCCTTCGGGTCATGTATCGAAAGTGTTATCACTTTTAAGTACTTATATAATTAGGTGTGGTATTCGATAATCATATGACGTGGAAAGATCAAGCGGATCATGTATACAAAAAGGTTGCAGTACGAGTTAATATCTTACGGCGTATTAGAACCTTTCTAACGGAGAAAGCAGCAATACATGTTTACAACGGTATTATCCTGCCTGTGTTCGATTACTGTGATATTACCTGGAGTAGCCTTCTGCAACAAGACGAGGACAGATTACAGCGATTGCAACATCGCGCCGCAAGAATTATAACACAGAGTGAAAGATCATCCGAAGCGATAGAAAAATTAAAATGGTCTTTATTAAACTGTAGACGCTCTTACCATAAAGCTATATTAGTTTACAAATGTCTACATTCTTTAGTCCCGAATTATTTTGTAAATTATTTTAAGAAATTTAGTAATGTACATAGCTACAATACTAGACACAAAAATAGGCTAATACTTCCCAAAGTTAAATATAATTTTGGAAAAATACTTTTATCTTCAGTGGGGTGCAGGTTTATAATA